AGAAGGGAGGGTAAAGAAGGAAGAGCTTCAGTTGAGCCATTAAAAACAAGGGGTGGCACAAGGTTTAAAGAAAAAAAACCTGAAAGTTAGACTTCAAAAACATGGAGAAAAGTGGCACAGCCAGAATTAAAACCAAGTGGGAAGTGGTAGTAGTTGGCTCAATACTGCAATTGAGAATGTTTGTAATTTGTTCTCTAAGGTGTTTGGAAGGACAAAAGGAAGTTTGAGAGCTGAGAGAGACAGAGTAGCTATCTTAGAATTTTTTTTCTGTGAAGACTTCAGATACAAAATATTCTTTTCCAGAGACAGGAATTGGAGATCTTCAGTGGCCCCCTTCAGTGGCATTGAAGATAAATGTGTAACGGATGAAGGCCCTGTCAAAAAAGAATTTTTTGTGGAATTAGTAGGAAGTTTTGTACTTTTTCATTTAGGAAGCAAAATGATTATTCTGAATTTAATATTTGTATTCCTATAATAAGTTTCCATAATTATTTTTATTAGCAGCATGTTTTATACATAGCCTTTCTAACTGTTTGTAAAGATTCTTGCTTATATAATGAAAAGATTTCTCTAAGTAACTTGGATATGACTAATAATGGCTTGTTTTCCCATTACATTGTTTTAAATAACCTTTTAAAATCTAGTTTCTCAATGCTTTGCCAATTTCTGTGCAAGTCCATATGATACCTAATAGGTTATACATATAAAGCATACTTTAAAAAAAAGGTTTTCATCTGTTGTTTTCCTATTCGCTTTTTAATGAGATTTATAAAATCCATCAATAATAATGAACTCCAAAATTTGTTTTGTAAAGTATTTCTTGAGGGTCCAGCTATGAATTTACCACCCACTATTCTCTAAGCTCTTAAAATCTCATAACTGCTAGTCTTTACGTGAGGGCAAAATACATATATAAAAATGTTTATGTACACACAGAATTGACATGTAGCATACATAATGCATATATGTATATGTGTAAAACTGTCACATTCCAAAGACAAAGACTGCACAGAAAAATAACTTTTGGGGTCTGATACTTTCCTCATAAATGGGAATGTTTCAGCATCGTCACCTGGAATGCCTCAGATATTAAAAAGTGAGAATTTTAGAAGACAAAGCTGAAATAATGAATAAATGTAGCATGTCTGTAGTTCTCATCTGTCAGCAAAAAGTACTTTGAAGTATGACAGTGATTGAATTTTTAATATGCACTTAATTGAATAAGTTGTGGTAATGTGTCCAAAACATGTCTGGAAGAAAGACAATAGGTATGATTACATCAAATTTGGTGATGATAAATATTTCCCACCACCCCAATACAACTGGCATTATGTAAGCCTGGTTCCTCTGAAACTCCTACTCTTCACACAAGATAACAGTATCTAGGGTTGTTTACCTGAGATTTTTTACAGCAATTTTGCATCAGAGTTGCTGGACCAGATTTGCTGTTTTTAAAGCAATTGTTTGGCTTGATACATTAACGGTAATATGAGTAAATTGGGAGTTTTAAATAATTTCTATAAGATGGTCAAAACCTGTTTCTGAGACACCCTCCCTTCTAAGAACCTCACCCTTTCTCAAACGTGGTGTTTTGCTTTACAGCTGTTTCAGTAGTTTAAGGGTCGCCATTATCATACTGTCAGGTCACCAAGATTCCTTGTTTTGTAGCTGTTTTTATAATTTATTCCTTCATTTGCAAATTAAGTTTCATTTGTGAGCACGATAATTGCTACATCTTCTAATGCTGTCTTGAGGCAAATCATAATTTCCTCGTTACGTCCAATTGTTTCTCAGCAGAGCTGGAAATGTCAGTTTTTCCTTCCATCAGAAAAAAAAAAAACAAACATTTTTCATTAATAAGCATGGTGTGATTAAGATACAACATTAATTTAGATGACTTTTCTAGTTTTGTTCACTTAACACAGGGAGAGCAATCTCACATACAGGCCAGTGCTGAATGCCAGTGGTTCCAAGCCTGAGCATGGCAGTGCTGTTCCATTGGTAGGGAAGGGAGACTTGAACCACTGCTGTAACTGCAGTGATTTGCTCTTTCACTGTTAGGAATATTTGCCTGATTTCTTTGCCCACAGTTGTGTTTGCCTCTGTCAGTGGACAAAAATAGATCTGCTCCAAGAAAATTATTTTCTCCAACTTGGAGGAGAAAAACAAAGAGAAGAGCTATGATTCATTCCTCCAGGAGTTCATTAAAATGCATTTTGTATTAGTGTGGCAGTGAAACATTGCTGTTTCAGTTAGTGGAAGTGCATACTGGCTGTGGAAACTTTCAGGTAATTGAAATTTTTGCACTGAAAATCCTTGTTTAGTTTTGAGTATGAAATTCAAAGTCTTTTATCACAAAAATAATGCTTCTGAAGTGCATTTGTTCGATCTCAGAACAAGGCCACTGAGGAATGCAAAATACCCTTTGGTTAGTGGGCAAGTGGCAGGT